AACCATTGTTGGATATATATACAGAGTTTCAACGACAAAGTTTGCAATAACTTCGTCCAGGTGCTTGTGACCAAGCTGACTACGAAATATTCCTTGCGCTAAAAATTCCAAAAGGCACTAAATTTTACTGGGTATGCCTTAATACATTGAAAGAGTAAATATTTTAGCGTAAGTATTTCATTGATATAGCGGAAGACATAGACGAGGATAAGCTACAGCTGCTAGAAGCTATGACAAGTGTTTCACGGAACAACCAAGATGTGCCAAAACAGTTAAGTTCCGGCCAATCATTTGGAAGTCCAAATTCAGGAGGGTTATCATCTGGTAGTCCATCTTCCGGAGGGAAAAATTCAAGAGGGTTACGGCCCTCCAACTTTCAACATTGGGGTACACCACAAAATGCTCAACAATGGGGTTCACCTCAAGCGTGTCTACAATGGAGCACAGCACCAAATGCACAACAATGGGGCACACCAGCAAATGCGCAACAATGGGGCAACCCCAAATGCTCAACAATGGGGGCTTTCACTGAACTTTCAACCTTGGGTTTCCCCATCGAACTTTCACGTAAGAGGTGAGACACAAGACTTTCAACAAGGCAGCTTATCAGAAATGACTCCAGTCAATGTTCAATATGGATTTTCAGTTGGAGGTCAAGTAGGAAGTACGAAAACTAACGAATAAGAAACTTCAGGAGCTTTACCAAACGCTCAACCAACAACATCATGCGGTCTTGATTTCACAAATTATGTTGAAACTGGATATCAAGTACCTAGATCAGGAGATATATTTAATATATGGAGTACCCCACAAGAAATAAACACAAATGTAAACGAAGGTCGTCAAAATTGTTCAGAAGATGAAGATTAGTCTGTAACAATTGAGTTTCAATATTCTCGTTTATAAAATGAAATATTTTATATTTTTTATTTCAACTTTTTGTGTAATGTTTTAATTTAAATTTATATTTTCTAATGATTTTTTTTTTCATGTTTAAAATTTCAGGCTTTTCGTTTATGTCAGTTACGATCACAAGGCATCCACAACCTAAGTTACAAAGAGAGAATTGAATTGTGGAATTTGAAAAATGAGCAATTTACGGAGTTAATAAATCAGCTAAGTTTGAATTACTATCATCAAAATTTTAAAAGAGCATCAGACCTAACAGACAGAGGTTTGGGATGGACAAATATTTGGCCTCGGCTAAAACAAGATGCTAGGGTATGTCCTCAATTACTACGAATGTCAAGGCCATGTTTTATAATGTTATGTGATACGTACAGACAAATTACGGTCTTAAACCAAGGTTAAATATGAGCATTGAAGAAAGCGTGACTATATTTTTATGGATATATGGACAAAAAGAAATTCAAAAAGATGTTGTTTTGAGAGCATCTCCAACCCTGCTCCATTTTCTACTGCAAACTCCATTTTGGAGTAAATTTCACTCCAACCCTACTCTATTTTTTACTGCAAAATGGAGAAAAAATAGAGATTGCTCCATAATTTGCAGAAATACTTTCTTATTTATAACCTAAACCTTAAAATATTAAATCTTTATAATTTTATACCTCTTATCAACACAGCAAGCAACATTCTCGACATTATATATGGCTATATGCATTTTCTTTTTTCAGATATCCACCTAATATTTGTGTGACACATACCACTTTGAATTTTATATATATGTAATTAAAAAATGGTCTTCATGTATATATATATATGACTATCGGTTAAATAATTAATTTTTTATTTTATAATTCATGTTTATAAGATTTTTTGACAAGATTATAGGACTTTAATAGTTTAAAAAAATATATAATAGACAATCATAAATATTTTAATATATTTTTATTTCAAAAGATTACAACTTAAAATAAACTGAAAAATACACAACAAGTTGATGATGACAATATCAGGTTCAAAGAGTTTCTCGGTCGATTTAGAAAAATCAAAGATAACGAAGCTCATTTTTCATTTCGGAATGCATTAATTGATCATTTGTAGGAAAAATTTCGTAATTATGATTTTTAAATTTCCTAAGTGTTATGATATTATGTATTTTTTTTATTTATTAAAATTTATTATGTTTTTATGATTTTATGTAATTTTCTTTATTTAATAAATATTTAGTTTTACTAAATTCGTAAATTATAAATATTTTAGATAAAATAAAATAAATGGGTTATTTTGTAACTTTTAAAAGTTATAGGTTATTAAAAGTAAAAGAAAAAATAGAATCTATTAGGAATAATCTTTTTTGAAGTCAAAAATGGAGTCATGCATTGGAGCAAAACACAACTCTATTTTGGAGTTACTCCAATTTGGAATATAAAATGGAGATTTACATTGGAGATGGTCTGAGACTTGGTCAAAATCAAGAAACTGTGCAAAGAAAATTTATTGAAGTTCTTAGGACTACTGAATTACTGTCATGTGGTAATATTAAAACTCCAACAAGAGAAGACCTAGACTGAGTTCCTGAAAGACTTATACAAGATCGAAGATACTGCCATATTTCTGTGGATTTGTTGGAGCTATGGATGGGACTCATGTATGCGTAAAAGTGAAACCAGAATTATAAGAAATGTATTGGGATCGAGATGATAATCCATCTTTGAACATCATGGCAATATGTGATTTGAATATGTTATTCACATATATTTGGAATGGAGCACCAGGATCATGCCATGATACATCGTTTTGAAAATGGTATGAGTTCCTTTTGCCGCCACCAGAGAAGTATTATCTCATTGATTCTGGTTATCTAAACAGACAAGGATTTTTTGCTCCATATAGATCATCACGAAACAGAGTTGTGAGATATCATATGGCTCGGTTCAGTTCTAGTCCTGTTCCTAAGAAAAAACAAGAACTTTTTAATCGAAATCATGCATCTATGTGTTCTGTTATCGAGAGAAATTTTGGATGTTGGAAGAAAAAATGTAGAATTGTTAAAGAATTTCCAGGATATCGTATTAAAATCCTAAAGAGAGTAATAATGGCTACATAGGATTAAATAATTTTATCAAAATTTCATATTTCACAGATCCAAATTTTGCAAATACAATGACAGAGACGGAAATGAACAATATAGATTCTGAATACGATTAAATGACATTGAAGGAGCAGAGGCAACTGATGGACACTATATGGAGCAAATAAGAGACATAATTGCAGATATGTTGTAAAATCAAAATATTTGATGATTGTTTTTATTGTATTGTACTTATGGTTTAATCTTGTTTAGCATTATTTGTATCGCAATAAATAAAATTTTATTTGAAATAAAATTTGAATATTTGAAGTTCATAAATATGTAAATTTGTTTTTTTGTTGATCAAAAATAATAATTTAATTATAATTATACAAATTATTATATACTTTTCTAATATATTTATCTATACTCTGTAATCTGCTCCGCTGTAATTTTGTTCACCATTCAAACATTTTATTTTGGACCACAAGCTGTTTTTTCACTAATCAAACATTATTCTGTATCGTTTATTATATATTAACTGCATTTCTCCCGCAAATATATTTTCCCGCACGTACCGCAGTTATACCGTACCATATTCTTAATCCAAAAAATGCAAATGTATGTAAATAATTGTGATTGGTGTCAATATGTGGATTTAAGTTACTTTTTCAAAAAACATTTTATTACTATATCACCATTCATAGCTTTAGACAATCTTAAACCCAGATCTATGCCTCATGTATTAAAAATTAGGCAAATGCCTACAACCACCAAAAATATTATAAGATGAGAGGGCCACATTTTTTTTTGTAGAGATTACCCTTATATGTAAATTTAATTTAATAAATATGGTTGAAATCTAGTTTGAGAAAACCATAACACTTAAGTTATTATTATCACTTTTATTGTTATGAAAAATTTATGCATACAGTAATATTTAGTAAAGTTAATAACAAACAAAGGAATACAAGAAAAAAAATAGCTATTATAAATAACTGAAAGAAACAAACACATAATAATATGTTTTAAAATTTCTTTATTTTTGGTTATGTTATCAATATTATGGAAGATTGTTTTAGATAATATTATTACTTTTATATTTTTGTTAAATAAAAAAGGTTATATTTTTTTAAACTTGCTTTAAGCCACCGTAAGTGTAAGTACGGCACTTCTCCAATCCTATTCCATTTTCACTTCCAAGTATATTTTTCTCCAACCCTAGTCTATTTCCACCTTCAAAATGAAGATATGAACAGTATGACTTTATATATGGAGTGACACTATTCATCTTCTCCATTTTAGAATAGATTTTATTATTTTATATTTTGATCATTCAGCTATTATATGTTATCATTTAATTCTTAAACAAAAATTTTATTATTTTTAACACATAATTTTATTATAAATTATAAAACTAGTTATTTAGATAAGAAAAACATAAAAAAAAAAACAATCATAACATATATATAAACAGAAAATACAATGACAAAATAATTTTCAAATTAAAATTACATAAAAATAGAAAATACAATAACAAATTAACTTGAAAATACATAAAAATAGATAAAACACAATAACATATTAGTAATCTGGTAAACCATTTCTGGATACACTAAGCTCATTAAAATATTGTTCAAATGAAGTAGCTGGAGGAATAATTTCTTCATATTTTTAATTTTATTGAATATAATCAACAAAATAAAGTTATTTGATTCATTTTATAAGTTTGACAAACAAAAAAGTATAACTACAAAAAACGATATAGAATGATACCGTCTGCAACCACAAACGTTTGCAGAAATAAGTTTTTAGATTTCAGCGATATAAAACGATAATGAGAAGTATGAAGTTATTTCTATGATTGTTATCAAACGCCACTAACTACTATCAATCGTTATGTTTACGGGTGATAACAAATGAACCAATCAACACCTAAATTGATAAATCGGAAACGCAAACGCGCACTAAACCATAAGTGGCAACAGCGTTTAGGGCACTTTTATCGAACCTTTGAAAAAGATAAAAGTCAAAAACAGTTGACCACTCTCTCTTCCGCCTTTAATCGAAATCGGACGAAAATGGGAAAACGCGACAAGAAACCAAATCGGCGTCGCCACAAAGGAGAGTTCTCGAACGACGGCGAAGATTTCTACGATCAACACCCTCCGGCTGCTGCCTCCGTAGACGAAGATGAAGAAAACTCTGAGGAAGAAGAAGAAGAAAACGAGGAAAACGACGAGCTTCAGCCATCGGATTTGCCCTCGAAGTTCCTTCTCTACCAACAATCGGTTCAGGTAAAATAATTAGCAACTCGCGACTCTCTTTGTTTTGCCCTTTTAGGTTCCTGAGATTACATCGACTGCTTTGGTTAGACTGTTTAGACATTAGTTCTCTTGCGTTTATGTTTTTGTCTGCTTTGGAGTTAAATCTCTTCCAGTGAAGAGAATAATATTTAGGATGTGATGGGTCATTGAGTTTATGGAACTAAGAAAGTTAGTTTTTTTGCGTTCTCTGTATCTCTTACAGAATGAAGCATTAAGCTTTGAATTACTGTATTATGTGTGTTTTGGTGCAGTCACCAAAAGGAGACATAAGCTACTTGCAGAAGTTCTTTTTGATGTATGTGGGTGGAAGGCAGCCTCTCCATTTCCAAGAAGATTTCTGTGGAACTGCTCTTTTAAGGTAACTAAACATGCGTCACTAGATACGTATATTTTGCTTCACTAAATAGGTACGAAATGATTTGATTGTTTGGGATAGTGCGGAGTGGCTGAAGACTGACACAAGAAGGACTGCTATAGGGCTAGATTTTGACCTTGAGGCACTAGAATGGTGCATGGATAACAACATAAGTAAGCTTGGTGCTGACGGGTATTCAAGAATGTCGCTTTTCCATGGTAATGTCTTGGCCCCTGATGAGGCTAAGCTAGTGAAATCCGAATCACACGAGCTGATACAGAACATCAGCTTGGATGATGGGGATAGTGAAGATTTGGTTGATCCTTGTGCTGAATCGTTAGAGAAAGATGGACCTGATTCATTACCGAAGAGGGATATAGTGTGTGCTTTCAATTTTAGTTGCTGTTGTCTCCACAAACGCTCGGAGTTGGTTTTGTACTTCAAGAATGCACGTAAAGCTTTGTCAAAGAGAGGCGGTATTTTCGTGATGGATCTATATGGAGGTGCTTCTGCTGAGGGACAGTTGAAGCTTCAACGGAAATTCCCAAGTTTCACGGTAAAAATGTTAAATTCTTATCCTTTATCTGGTAAAAGTGCGTGTCAGAGCCAGAGTAACCGTACTAACGACTATTCAAATATCTTTTGGCAGTATACATGGGAGCAGGCTGAGTTTGACATTGTAAGCCGCAAGACAAGGATCAGTCTGCATTATCACCTTCAGAAGCAGAACAGGAAGATTCGCCATGCTTTTTCATATAGCTGGAGACTGTAAGTGGCCTCTACTCTCCGCTTCCAGATCCATTCTTTCTGCAATGTTGTACAAGCCTTAAGAGAATCTTACATTAGCATAGTTATATACTTGTAGAGGGCTTGCTTAGCTTTTCAAGGATGATGTTTCATCTGTCATGTTAGGTTCCTGCATTCCTAGCTTTTATTGTTGGTTTGGATGAGTTAGGTATCTTGTAGTGCAGCCGATTCGGATCATCATGTTAGTGAGTTGTCCTTGTGTTGGTGGATCATGTAACCGATATTTAACGTTATATTGAGATTTTTGCTTTCCTTAACAATAGATTTATACGGTTCTTGCACTATTGAACATGAAACCTATGATTCACGTTTAAGTTCCTCAGAAGTCTTGAGTTCATGTGTGTGTAGGTGGTCATTGCCGGAGATAAAGGACTGTATGGAGGAAGCAGGGTTTAGATCAGTCCATTTTTGGCTCAGAGAAATGCCAGACGCTTCTGAAATGCGTAGAACAGATGGGTTTGGTGCGGGACGTGATATCAAGTACGAAGAAGTCAAGAGCTTTCCACAGTGCGATGCTTGGAATGCTTACATTGTTGCGGTTAGTCTCTAAGTTTTGTGTACCAAACAAAACCTTTATGGTTTGAGTCCTTAACCGAATCCATAGCCGTTTTGGAAACTATGCGTAGAGAATCAATCAGTTATGCAACTCTACTTTAAGCCTTTTTAAATCAGATTCTCTATTCCGCGTTGGTTTTTACTTTTTAGTTCTGTCACACACACTGATTTACTTTTAGTTATGCACCAATAATCAAGGAGAAGTTGGGGTATATTCTAGGCCTGGAGTTTCGATTAACCGAACCTACCTGGTCCGTTTTTTTGGTTTTTTGGTAAATCTGGTAATTAAAATCTTACCAAAATTAACCGAAAATGTTACGGCTCGGTTTGGTTATTGGTTAGTTCGGTTTTTCTAAATTTTACCAAAACTAATCAAAATTTCGATTTTTGTGTCGAAATTCGGTTATAATTGGATAATTTCGGCTAATTTGCTTAATCTGTTTTGGTTTGGTTATTTGGTATATTTAAAATTTCGTAATTTTTTTTTTCGACAAACAATTCCATTAATATCAAAATACGATTACAAAGTCGGTACACAAAACTTTTGAAAAAAAAATTATTATATAAGCAATATATGCGCCATATGTTAAGAATGACACAACATGTAAAGTGAATTTCTAAAGTGAATTTAAATGCTTTCCAAAGTAAAGTTATACTCGTTAACGAATAGTTAAATTCATTATTTTCTTTTTTCGTATTTTTGTTTTCTATGTTAATTGTGTGTTTGATTAGTAATTCTTGGCTAAATCTTATAATTACGCACCTCATGATAAAACTCAATACTTATGTTGTATGAAGTTTTGTTTCCACAAATGGATACCAAAGCTTTCATATCCAAATCTTTCTATTAGGGTTTAGCTTTGACTATGTCACCTCGTCATCGACAACAAGTTAAGAAGAAATGAAAAATGATAACCTCCACAACACTAAATCTGGAGAGAATCATTATCCAACATTTAGATGTCACCAAAGAGATCTAAACCAGAGCGGTGATGAAATAGATGTCAAAGAAATTGGTTTCTATAATATTGGAAAAATAAATTGCCCAAAAAATTGCAAATAACAAGAAATGTGGTGAATTAAATTGAAAACGAAAAGAAAAAAGGAAAAATCGGTGGTCGAAGCTGTCGCCCGAAAAAGGATGTAGTACGCCGATTCGTGGAGGAAGGAGAGAACGGTTTTTTTTATTTTTAAATTTTTGTATAATTTGTATAAGATGTTTCTGACAAAAAAAAATTAAAAGAACCAATCGGTTTGGTATTGCAGAACCAATCTGAACTGATAACCGACCCTAATTTTGAAAGCTGTGGATCGGTTTAAACCTCTAAACCGAATGGAAACGAAAGACAGAAAAGTTCGATTTAGGTTGGTACGGTTCCCAGATTCGGTTAAAAATTTCTGGCTAAGTATATTTTGTTGGTGTCAATCCGGTTCATTTCATCAAAAGCCCCGAAGGAACGTCGACACCTTCCGAAATCGATGACGGTTTGAAGCGGTTTTACGACGGTTCTCTTGCCGTTATCTCCATCTCCGTAGTGGGGATCGTGCTCCACTTCGATGTCGTTCTCTTCACTAACTCCCAATTGTCTGGAATTTATAAATTATGTAAGTGGCCTCCTGATCCTCATTACGTTTTTATTCGTTTACTCTCTTTACTGGTTAAACTTCGAAATCAATCAGAGAAATTCCAAATGGCTGAAAACTTAAGAAGAGCAATTCAGGACATTAACCTTGGGGTTAATGATGAGCCGGTGCCACTTCCTCCCGAAATATGCAATGCTGCTGCAACAGCGAACCAATTCTGTTTATTGGGTCGCTCTCTCATGCCAGGGAAACAAAACCTACGCAGAATTGTGGCCGTGTTACCCAGAAATTGGGGATTGTCGGGAATCATTTCTGGGCGTATTGTGGAACGACGTCGGTTCCAATTTGTCTTCCCGTCAGAAGATCTGATGCAATCTGTCATCAACCGAGGACCATGGGCTTTCAATGATCGAATGCTAATTCTCCGCCGTTGGAGCCCGGAGATGAATGATTTCAACCTCATTCATATCCCATTCTGGGTCCAGATCCGAGGTATCCCTCTACAATTCCTCACACAAGGGGTTATCGAACACATCGGGAAGATACTGAGTGGCGAAGATGTAATAGAAGTGGAGTTCAACCCAGAAGTTGCCCCAATGGTGGAGTTCGTCCGTGTCAAAGTCAACTGGAATGTCGATAACCCTCTCCGTTTCCAGAAGAACTTCCAATTCTCACCGGGGGTCAGCACCTTACTCAAATTCCGATATGAGCGACTAAGGGGTTTTTGCGACATCTGTGGGATGATGACACATGACTCGGGGCAGTGTGTAGTTGAAGATCATGACCCAGAGGATCCACATGATGATAATGACGATGCACAAGATGAGCCGGAAGGACAAGAAGAGGAAATGCAGGAACCAAACCAACAGAATCCAGAAGTTAATTCAGAAGATGAAGAAATGAACCCAGGGAATCAGGAAATGGAGGCCGTACAGGCGGATAACGAAGTGGATAATGATGAATTGTACGATGAGCAGGGGGAATTGGTGGGTTTTGAAGACTACGAACTACCCATGGTGAAGAAACATGGCAGGAAGGAAGTTCTGCGTCGCCGCCGGTTCGTGGAAAACCTGTTAGAGGAATGGAACAATGGGAACCCATCAATGCTGAGGGCTTTCACTCCAGTACCAGAAACTTATACGACGAATGATGGAAGTAACGACGACATAGAGGTTCAACAATATGGAAGTTTCTTCACTGGTGACTCGGTATCCTTTTCTGAGGATGGCTCCGCTACTAAGTCATCAGGTAAAAGACCTCTGATCTCAGAAAAGGTTACAGATGGTGTGGATGCTTTTGATGCAGGGTATTTGGTTAAGCGACCACGACTGAACATGACACCAGTGGACAAGTTTGTGGATGGAGAAAGACAAAGGGTTGACGATGAAAACTCTCTCCTCAAGCTGCAGTTTGATTATGGCGAGAATGATGAAGATACGGATGAAGCCACTACACAACACGGAGGCGCGGTGGGCCCGAATCCACCACCGGTCCAATGAGAGCTCAGGTGTGGAACTGTAGAGGCTTAGGATAGCGCCTCACAGTTCGACGTCTGAAGGAGATGCAGAAGCTGTATCATCCGGACTTGCTGTTCCTCATTGAGACGAAGCAAAATGACGACTACGTTCGTGATATCGGGGTTTATTTGGGGTTTCATGATATGTGTATTGTAGGTCCTCAGGGGTTAAGTGGGGGATTAGTAGTTTATTGGAAGCAACATGTTTCAGTTCAATGTATTTCCGCAGATGCAAGACTCATCGATCTTCTTATTGAATATAAGTCTTTTCAGTTTTACTTGTCTTGCATTTACGGTGACCCTGTTCCAAAAATGAGACATCATCTATGGGAAAAGCTACAAAGATTAGCCGTGTCAAGGGTTGGGCCTTGGATGATGTTTGGTGATTTTAATGAAATCACTAAACAATCAGAAAAGAGAGGAGGAAGAATCCGAAATCCAAACAGTTATGCTGATTTTAACACGATGATGAAAGTATGTGATATGACAGATCTCAAGCATAAGGGTAACGAATTCAGTTGGGTGGGAAAGAGAAGGAAAGAGGTTATCGAATGCTGTCTTGACCGAGTTATTGTGAATACAACCTGGAAATCACTCTATCCAGAATCAGAATCCGAATTTTTGGAACTTGCAGAATCTGATCATCGACCAGTTGTGGTATCAATCGAGTATGAACCACGTATACGAAAGGGGCTTTTTCGATATGACAAAAGACTATTTGCACATGAAGGATTCGCAGAAGTTGTAAGAGATCACTGGCATACTCCAACAAGCATGAACATTAAAGTATCAAAGAAGCTAAAAGAATGCAGGAGAGCAATGGCTCAATGGAAAAGGAGAAACAGAACAAATGCTGCAGAAAGAATACAAATAATTCGTTTGCAGATAGATCAAGCTATTCGAGATAATACCATTACCTCAGAAGAAATACATCAAATGCGGAGAGATCTAAATAACGCCTATCGGGATGAGGAAGAGTTTTGGAAACTAAAGAGCAGAAATTCATGGCTAAAAGTTGGAGATAGGAATACAAGGTTTTTTCATGGCCTAACTAAAGCACGTAAATCGCATTATTGCATTAAACAGATTGAGGACGATCATGGGATTATTCATCGCCGTGATGAAGCCATTGCAATAGTAGCTCAAGAATATTTTCAACAACTGTTTTCATCTTCCAACCCAACACCACTTGATCAAGTTTTTGAGGATATACAACAGAAGGTAACGGAAGAGATGAACCAGTTTTTGACTAAACCAATCACTGATCAGGAGATCAAGAATGCTGTTTTCCTAATCGGTTCAGATAAAGCATCTGGCCATGATGGATATTCTGCGGCTTTTTATCAACAATTCTGGCAAGATATTGGACCAGATATATGCAGTATGGTTCGCAGGTTTTTTGAAAATGGTGAGATGGAAGAGCAGATGAACCATACAAACATGTCTTCTACCAAAAACAGGGGTGTCAACCAAAATGAATGAATTCAGACCAATAAGTCTATGTACGGTACATTATAAAATCATCTCGAAAGTGTTAGTGATGAGGCTAAAAGAATGTCTGGATCAAATCATCTCTGAGTCTCAAGCTGCTTTTGTGCCAGGACGTAATATCACAGATAATGTGTTGGTTGCACATGAATTATTACATGGACTGAAGTCAAAAAAAGATGTTGCTGAATCGTATATTGCAATTAAAACAGATATAAGCAAAGCTTATGACAGAATGGAATGGGGTTTCTTGGAACAAGTAATGAGGAAGATGGGATTCTGTGAAAAATGGATCGAATGGATCATGCGTTGTGTTACGACGGTATCTTTCTCAGTGTTGATTAATGGGATTGCATATGGGAATTTTCAACCATCAAGGGGCATTCGACAAGGAGATCCTCTGTCTCCTTATCTATTCCTTATATGTGCAGAGGTAATGAGTCAAATGTTAACTGCTGCAGAGAGGAATCGTCGATTTCAGGGGTTGAAACTAGCATCACATTGTCCAACAGTATCTCACTTATTATTTGCAGATGATTCCCTTTTTTTCTGCCGAGCAACAAGATCAGATTGTGAAACAATAGCAGAAATCATTAGGAGATATGAAATTATTTCAGGGCAACAAGTGAACTACACAAAGTCTTCCATCATCTTTGGTATGAAAGTCATACAAAGACAACGAGATATGATTCAGGACATATTAGGAATACAAAATGTTGGTGGAGGAGGCAAATACTTGGGGTTACCAGAACAATTTAGTCGAAGCAAAACAGAAGCTTTTGATTTTGTTGTCAAGAGGATACAAGATAAGTTAAATGGATGGTATCATCAGTTCCTTTCTCCTGCTAGAAAAGAGATTTTGATCAAATCAATCCTTCAAGCAACGCCTATTTACTCTATGAATTGTTTCCAACTACCAAAAACAATTTGTGATGAGATAAATAGCATGATAACAGAATTTTGGTGGGGCAAAGCTAATAATTCCAGAAATATACCGTGGGTGGCTTGGAAACGATTGTCGCTACCAAAGACTGAAGGAGGTCTAGGTTTTAAAGATCTCTATCACTTTAATAGGGCACTTCTGGCTAAACAAGCGTGGCGTATCCTCATTAAGCCTTATTCTCTACTTGCCCGAATTTATAAGGGAAGGTACCATTACAGGTTGAGGTTCTTAGATTCAACTTGTAGTGGCCAACCTTCGTTTGGCTGGAGATCGATCCAAGCCGGTAAAGACCTTCTTAAACAAGGTCTAAGAATTCAGATAGGTACTGGTAAAGAGATCAAAGTTGCATCGGATCATTGGATTCCAACATCACCACCAAGAGCAGCACGGGGTAATAATATCGATGCAAATTTAACAGTGGCAGAACTATGGATACCTGGTAAACGGGAATGGGACGAGCAAAAACTACAAAATGTATTATGTACGGAAGATGCTTTCATTGTAAAAAGTATCACTCTCTCCAAATTTGCTGTTGCAGATAAGTATATCTGGCCATATTCCAATGATTCATCTTACACTGTAAAATCAGGGTATTGGTTTGCAACGCATGAAGCAGAGAGAAATGAAGTCATTGAACCTCCTAATGGATCAGTTGAGCTCAAAATGAAAATTTGGAAGTTGGAAATCTTACCAAAGATCCAACATTTCTTATGGAAAGTGTTATCAGGTGCTCTTCCAACAGCAGAAAGACTCCGTACACGTGGAATCAATGCAAATCCACTTTGCCAGCGATGTTGCCTTGCGGATGAGACGATTAACCATATCTTATTTCAATGCACACATGCTCAAGCTATATGGCGTTGTTGCAATATACAATTGTTTGATAACCCATCAAGACTGTTAGAAGAGAACATCGAACGACTCATCACCATCAATGAAACAAAGACGTTATCTATGGAAAACAGAGTCTTGCCGTTTTGGACAATCTGGAATATATGGAAGTCAAGGAACGAATTTATATTCCAAAAAAGAAATTCTCACCCAAGAGAAGATGCTGAACGTGGAATTCAAGGGGCAAAGGAGTGGATAGCGGTTATACGAAATGAGGATTTCTATGGCCGTAATGTCAATGTTGATTCATCAAAACGTTCTTCTAATTGGCAGAACCCACCACAGGGATGGCTAAAGTGTAATTTTGATGGTTCTTATGTTTCAACAAGTGATAAAACTGGTGTTGGATGGATTCTCCGGGACCACGAAGGAAAACACATTGTATCAGGTAATGGACAACTTCCACAATCACAAAGTTCACTTCAAGCGGAGGCAATCAGTTTCTTACATGTTATTCAGAACATATGGCTACAAAGTTGGAGAAATGTTTGGTTTGAAAGTGATAACAAAGAATTAGTACGGCTGATAAATACAGGTGGAGAAAACACAGAGATTGGAAATACCCTGACGGATATAAGATGGTGGATCAGAAAGCTCCCTCTATGTTCCATTGATTATGTCAATAGAGAGCGCAATCAAGCAGCAGATATATTAGCAAAGAAATCATATAAAAGTAGTAATTCATATAATATTTATTATTGTCCGCCTATATATGGCTACTGAACTATTTGTATTATCCGTTTACGGAATAATTAATATAAAAAGATGTTAAAAAAAAGAAAATTCAAATAAATTGACGATCGAACCAATTAATGACATTTGATTATACTTACTATTTATGAATTAATGTATATAAATAGTATAAAATATATGAATTAATGTGAAAGCTTTCTGGAATCTTCTTTCAATGACAGCCTTGCAACCATCAATTTGTTCATTCAAAGCCAAAATTACACACATTTTTTGCAATTTTCCATATTACGGCAAAAAATAATAATAATTTAATTCTCGATTGCCTCGTCGTTAGTTTTTTTTCCCATTTCCTCATATTTCTTCTTCGTCTTCCTCTTTCCCTTTCTCATCTCACGATTCCTTTCCTTTCCTAATCCATTCGATTTCCTCTCTCTGCTTTTATATACTGCAAATCATCATCCGTCAATCCTAATTCTCTCATCTATACGTTAATCTCACCGAATCAGAACAGATCTATTTAATTGTTTTTTGTTTTGATTTGTTACTTTCCAGGTAATGATTTGTTTTCTCGATCTCGCTATTGATTCTATGTAATCACATCACGGATCTGTGTGATTGGGTTTAGAATTCAAACTATTTGATTTAAATATGATTTAATTTAATTTACCGTCGTTGATTTTCTAGGAATTTGTATTTTTTGTTCTCTCGCCGGAGTTTGATTATTATCCCGATCATGGCGGAGGAACACAGACTCCAGGAGCCACGATTATGCGCCAATAACTGCGGTTTCTTCGGAAGCACCGCCACGCAAAATCTCTGCTCCAAATGTTTCCGAGATCTCCAGCACCAACAGGAAAACTCCTCCTCCGCCAAACACGCCCTTAACCAAACCTTCGCCGCCGCTGTTTCTTCAACTGTTGGTGGTGCTGCTTCCTCCTCCGTATCACCACCACCGCCACCGCCACCGACTCCATCGGATCCCAAAACGAACCCGGAGAAACGAGCGGCGGCTGAGCCGGAAGAAGAGCAGACGCCGCCGCAAGATCCGAAACGGTGTTTGACTTGCCGGCGGCGCGTGGGGATCACGGGGTTCAGGTGTAGGTGTGGGTTCGTGTTCTGCGGGACGCATAGGTACGCGGAGCAGCACGAGTGCTCCTTTGATTTCAAGAGGATTGGGAAGGAGAAGATCGCTAAGGCGAATCCGATTGTGAAAGCAGAGAAGCTGGAGAAGATCTGAAAAAAGAGTTTGTGTGGTGGTGTGTTTGGAGTTTGGTTTGAACTTTGAAATGAATGTAAATTTAATCATCAGTTTAAAGCTTATTTGATTTCATTTCTTCTCAATTTGGTTTTAAAATTTGCCTCCATTGTTATTGTATTAAGCTTTCGTTTCAGAGCTCTTTCAACAAAACAGAACACAAAAGGCAGCAGACAGAAACAAGCGAATCTTAATGGTCTTGATTTCTTTGATGATTTTGAGAATATGCTTTGTGTTTCTTTTGGGCAGGCTCATACTTATTTGGTTGGACTTTGCTGAGAGCAAACATGCCAAAAATCTTTCACATGGTATGCGGGACACTATGATACTCGGTCAAGGATATATGAGGCACATCACATGCCTCTGATGAATTTGGAGAAAGCTGAGATAAACAGATCCTTAGTTCAGAGAGAAACCTAATCGACAACAATGTTAACGAACGCTCTCATGCATGAGTTTTCCCTTGCTCTCAGGGACAAAATAATCGATGTTGATTGGAATCTCGCATAGGTCAAGAAACCAGAAATGGAGTTTTGAGGTAGAGGAATATGGTTTCCAAGAGACGAGTAAAAACTCATTTAAGAAAAGTTAAATCTTCACGGCAACAGAAAACAAAATAATTAAACGGTATAAGAGAAACATAAATTAAATCTCAAAGCAAATCACTTTGCAACACGCTCAAATAACCGAGCTTGAGGAAGATCAAAGCTGCGTAACTGAAAGGCATTTCTGTCAAACTCGATCAATGCTAGATGATGTCAACTCATATACACTTTCAATACACAAAACACTATAGAGTACATTTTCGTATAATTTATTGTTGTTCATCTTCGTATAATCTAAACCCACCATTTACATCGACGATATCTTCACATCGATCAAGTTATCGATTGGCAATCGAAATCAGAGAGAATATATCTAAGACGAGGTTGGCTTGGAAAAATCACGAGGTTAGCTTGGAAAAAATCACGAATCAGAGAGAATATATCTAAGAAGAAGCTTGACCGATTGTGTAATGTCCATATAAACCGTATCTGATAATTTGTTGGCTACATGCAGGGCCGTGCCTAACTGCCTATATATGTAGCTGAGTAAGAAATATTGGCCTACGGATCAAATTTTTTTAAAAAATCCAAGGCTAAGTAGGAATAGTAGAAAGCTAAGAGAATATAAAATTTATTCATAAAATTGGAAACTAATTAAAAAAGTATTTAACAAATAAAAAGGTAGGGTAATGGTCGCAAAAATGTTTAGTTGGCCGCTTAATACACGGTATATCTTCAACTCACCTTCTTCATTATTGAAGTTTCGAAGCTTTCAGTTATCTTCTTTTTAGAACAATAACATAATTATCAAACGGTATATCAGTAGGTATTTGTTAAATTATTAATTATTTTCTAGCAAATGCTAAAAAATAATTAGTAACATAATTATCAAACGGTATCTCAGTAGGTATTTGCTAAATTACTAATTATTTTCACTTTAACAAAAAAAAAATTACTAATTATTTTCTTATTATAATTTTTTTTTGCTAATTTGTTGTAACTTTTTTTTACATAGATGTCTGAAAACAACCTTAAAAAAACTATGAAAAAAAAATTAAAACAGAAAAGAGAAAAAGAAAAGAAATCAGTGAATGCTTTATTCAGGTACTTCAAAAAACCTAATTAAACTCTTGATAAATCTATAGAAAAAGATGATGAGCATCATGGTGTTTCTGGAGATGGTTAGAGAATACGAATGCAGTGAATAAAGATGACTTAAATGAGAAAAATGATATGAATAGTTGAATACGCTATATGAAGAGAATTTGAATAATAAAATGGATGTAGTGAATGAAGAGGGTTAAAAAAAATAAAGATAAAGATGAAGATAATAATGAATGTGAAAAAAGAGAATGATCTAATGGAACATTGTGAATTAGTTTTATATGGACTAGGTGATTTTCCACGCTACGCTCGGATTGTTTTTATATATATTTTTACTATTTTAATATATTCAAATTTTTTTTATTAAAATATATATGCAGATGCTTAAAATACATGTTTTCTTTGTTTATTTTCTCATACAAAACTGTATATTTCAAACTGTATTTTTGATCGAACTGTATTTTTTTGAAAAGAGATATACATGATAAAAACTACCAAAAGGTAAAAAAAAAAAAACAGATTTCTCTGTAAAGAAGCAATACAAGGAAAAAAGGATTTCGGATTCAACATTTGGGTTTCTTCGGTTAAGAGGCATAGACATCTAAGTGTCTAAATGCTTACTGAGGCAACTCGAGATCGGGTCTTCGATCAAAAGCATCACTAAGCTACGCACGGAAGCATATGTTATTGTAGGTTTAAATTTTATGTTTTAGAAATGTTTTAGTACGTATCTTGTTACCTGATTTGTGTGATTTATGTTTTGTAAGCCTATACATATCTTTAAATAGTTTCCTTACCATAGAATTTGATTTTTCTTTTTTTTAAAAAAAGAACAATCATAATCTTCTATGTGGGTAAATTAAATTGAACTGGTTTCTTAATGTTTTCGGGGTCTTGATTTTGAATCTTAACAAATAGGGTAGTGTTGTATGTGATTTCCGCTATTTGGATAAGAAAAAGAGAGCGAAATGCATGTGGAAAGTGAAGGTTAGTTTTCCCCCTCGGCAATTCATCTGAAAATAAATCTATAAGAAAGGCATAAAACTAATTTAACGTTCACATAAGTCCGAAAGAGTAATAGTCGGATGAGAATATATAAACATGCCCGCCTAATTTAATTAATAAAACTTTGTTTTCACTTTTGTGCATTCAATAGTGTCTCTTCAGGAATCAAGCATAAAAAAGAAGGTACTCTTCAGGAATTGTTCATTCATTCATTTTGATGGCCTATTTGTTTATTTAGCTTCTTTTCGTTTTTTCTTATTCCAGCATTCTGATGTAAATAAAGACATAGTTTTTAACTTGTGACCAAACACACTACCCTCTTTTGGTTAATTCATTTTGTCTTGCTTATTCATTCTTGAACTTTTGAGATACCTATCTTCGTTGGCCGTGATAATACACCCTTTTTCCTGTAGTAACGGGCATTTACCAAACTAAATCAAAACCAACACAGAATACTCGGGAAGAGGATGAACTATATTGGACTTCCCTTTTCACTGGTTGAGATTCATCTTTCTCTTACCATATGCATGTCATTTGATTTTGTGAAATACAGCATAGTCCATTGTCTAATGTATAACCCACCAAAGATTCCCACCCATGAATGAAATTAACTATAACCTAATTAATCAATACCAATACTGCAGCCAACGTTTAATTGGCATACACATTTTATTGATCTTGTTTGGTGGCAACTTTTAAGAAAACAAATTGAAATCGTAGTTATTACCCAAAGAGCCTGAGAGGTAGAAAGATAAAAATAGACACAAAGACTAATGAGAGGAATAAACCTTTTAGCATTCCCGTATAGCAGGCTGATTAAATTGTCATTAATCGAAGGAAAAGTAGACGTCGGAGGCCCATGCATTGACGACTTCACCGTTTTACAGAATCTCTACTATTAGAAACATAGACGGACCGTTATCTAAACGTTGGCAGACTTAATGACTTGGGAGGCCATGAAAGGTCGACAATGGTTATCATTGCTGAGCCCATTTATGCCCATATTTTATCGATCTCCTAGGTATTATCAGGTCGGAGGTTATTTGAATGAGCGAGTAAAAGGGGTAAAGAGATGATCAAAAGTGGAGGATAATTATATAATACATGATTAGTATTAGTTGTCAGAATTTGATATAGAAGATCATGACATCGTATCTTAGCCTAACATCTCAAGCAAAAAATTTTCCATTTCAAGCTATTTAAAACTAATTCAGTACCGATCTATCTGGAAAGAAATAGGAAACCTGTTGTCGAACTATGTTGTCGGCCTGCAATCAATAAATGTAAGAACTCTGAACCTAACTTTACACTCTATTTATGACGTTCGGCATACTGTGTATAAGGAGAATCTAGACTCAAAAACACTTAGTATAGCACATGGGAGAATCATAAGATGGAAAGCAGAATCGTACAGTTGCATGCAATCACCTTGTTTAGAACTCTGTTCCTAAATAAGACTATGTCTCTACATATAAGGAGAATCCAGATTCTGAGGCGCTTAGTATAAGAGATCGGAAACAGCAAGTTACAGGGAAGATGAGTGCAACCAAGAAGTGTTTGGAAAATATGAAGAGAGTAGCTGTGATCTATTGACTACAAAAAAATCATCGAGATGCTTATATGTGAGTGGTTGTTGCAAGAAAATTTATCAGAAGAGAGTAAGTAAATCTATGAACAACCTGTTTTTAGACACCAGCTTTCGAGTGTAATAGCTGGTTTAGCATGTAAGTTCAAGTTATAACCCAGGAAAATATTTTCTACCAAAACCTACTATTCTGATAACCTGTATATTTTTTCAGCATACTCAACGTAGGAGCAGGAGCTAGGCGTGGCTGGTCGTTTCTACCGACGTCTAACAGGGGAAAAATAAAGCAGAGAAAAAATCAGCATACAATCTAGAAAAAGTCTCCAAATGAACTGGTTAAAGAATAACAAATGAAGCAAGTTTTAAGAGACACACCTTTTACTTGACGTGTTTTTCTTCTTTGTAGTCTTACTCTTCATATTTCCAACCTCTCTCTCTCTTCTTCTGTCGCAGCTAATATATATATATATATATTATACACAAGCAACACTCCAAAAAGCAAATAAAGAAATCCAATATATATATATATATATATATTGGATTTCTTTATTTGCTCGATTTGGAGTGTTGCTACTGTAGTGAAGGTGAGATTAGATCATCACAATGCTCAGATGCATGATTACAAAAAACAGGGGAGCTGATATCGAGAAGAAGAAGACAAATTTTGACAGACTAACCATTGGAGGATGATTTGAAGGTTTGAACTTCGGAAATCATTGATGTTGGTAGTCAAGTGACTGGGATCTAAAGCATAGAAAATGCATTTGAATAAGAAAACGACGGTGAGGGCCTTACCTCTCCAATCTGGATCGTTGGACTCCTTGCGCTGATATAAGGAGTTCCATTTGCGTTTCTCTTCCTTTCCTGCATCAGAAAGAGGTGATCATTAAACAGGTCTAAAGTATCTAATATAATGAAG